AAAAAAAAAAAAAAAAAAAAAAAAAAAAAAAAAAAAAAAAAAAAAAAAAAAAAAAGTCCAAAGGCTGGAGAGGCAGCTCAGTGGTAGGCAGTTAAGTATTGCAAAAGAGAATATCATATATAAATAAGATCACACCACAGAGAATAACCTTTTGTGACTTTTTAAAATGTAGCAAAATTTGCTTGAGACTTACCCAAGCTCTACCAAATGGTTTCCCACTCCGCCCTCACCTTTTCATTGCAAAGCAACTGTCTGTTTATTTCCGGTTTATTTGGGTGTCAACTTGATGGGGTTTCAGGTGCCCAGCTTTTCAGTCACAGAAATGCTCTTGCAGATGAAATGAAATTAATATTTAAACACGCAGACTCGGTGCCTTTCAGAATATGTGAGAACCTTGTCCAGCCAGTTGCGGACTTGACAAGAACAAAACTGCTCACTGTCTCCCAAGTAAGAGATGCTTTCCATTGGATGGTCTCCAGGTCACAGCCTCAAGCTGTTCCTGCCTTCAGGTTTGAACCAAACCCTTGTCTCTTCATGAATTTTGACTTCGATTGGCCCACATCACCAGCTCCCGCTTTTGTGGCCTTCAGACTTGGAAGTCCTTACTTACCTCTGTCTTTCTCCTTATCACTTTCTCCCTTCCTTTCCTTTGTTCTATTCTACTGGCTCTGTTCCTTTGAAGAACCCTGACAGCTTGTTTAATCATTTATCCACTGAAGAGCAACTGGGCTGCTTCCTGTGTTTAGCAATTATGAGCAAAGCAAATCCCTGATCTTAGAGATTTCAGTGGTGAACATGAAGCCTAGAAGAAGGGAAGGGTTCCTGAGCACTGACCGCAGCGCCATCTTTCTTTGGAGGTAGCTTTTATCGTATATGGCTCAGCCATTTTCCTCTCTCAAAAGAATAATTTAAGATCCGCTAATGATTCACTTAGTCTTAAGTCTATTCCAGCCTACACGAGAGCTGCTAGCTTTGCCTTGTGTTTGCTGATACTGCCAATATCTATGTCTCAAGACATCAGTTGAGAAAAATAGGGACGTTGGTAATTATTTCAGTCATATATTCATTTACTTTTTTATTATTCTGTAAAAATTATTGAGTGTTTCTACATCCCTGGTGCTGTCTTCTGGATTAGGGCTTCAGCAAGTACTCAGTCTGGCAAAAATATTAGCTAGTTGGACCTTGTGTATTAGGAAGGACACTGATTGCAAATGAATTAAGTATGTAGGGATCAGTTGGTAAAAATATTGCTATGAAAAAAAGTCCCAGAAGTCAGAGAAATCATCCAGGGAGCATTTTTGAGCAGGGTTTCTATTGAGGAAAGTGTTCAGTGAAGCCCTACTTGAGAAGTAATATTCAAACAAAGGCCTGAGGGGGAAAGATGGAGTCATGGTTCTAGTGTTCAAAGACTCAATCCTACGTGGCATGCATGACTATGAGCAAATAGGATCCAGGGATATAGTCAGCGCCTAAGCCCCTGGTCTGCTTCAGAAAGCAAAAGCCCCCATTTGTCCTCCAGCAGTGACCATGCAGGAACAACATGGTGTTTGATGGTATCTGATCCATTCCCAGAGGTGATACTTAAGCAGTCTGTTTTCAATTTCTCTGATGTAAGAAGATTTCAGGGGAAGCAGTAGTATTTCTCGAGTCTTTGGGGGACAGCCCAGGATGATTTAAAAGTGTGGAATATTAAACTTGAAACTTGTTTATGAAGTGATAGGGAGGCAAAAGCCACCTTTCCCCCCTAATGTTGCAGCCTCTTCAGTCTATCTGCCAATGGCATGAACAGTAAGCATGTCTCGGGTGCAGTTCACACCGGCATGGGTGTGATGTCAAGATGCCAGCAGGAAGGAACGGCTCACTCCAGGTGCTCTCCTGGGAACAGAAACAAGTGCCTGACACACGTCTCTAGAAGAAAGAAACATATTAAAGTAACTGTGGCTTGAGGTAGGTGCATATCTGCAGAAGTCTACACTATTCGTAGTGACAAAGACAGGAAGCCCATCTAGATATCCACAAGCAGACAGGTAGATAAAGACTCTATGGTCCGGAACCAATGCAGATTTTTATTTGGTTGTAGGAACAGAGGAAAGCAGATGAAGGTTGAGATCATCGTGTTAAGTAAGATAAAACGGACTAGTGAAGAAAAATATCTTGTTGCTCATATGCAGAATGTGTGTTAGTGTGAGTGTGTAAGATGTGAAGCAGAATTGTGTGAGTGTGTGTAAGACACGAATATAGTGTAGAATGTGTGTAACATGTGAATATAGTGTAGAATGAGTGTGTGTGTGTAAGATGTGAATATAGTGCCGGATATGTGAGTGTGTGTGTGTGTGTGTGTGTGTAAGGTGTAAATATAGCACAGGGTATGTGAGTGTGTGTGTGTGTGTAAGACGTGAAGCAGAATGTGTGTGTAAGACATGGAATATAGTGCAGAATGTGTGTGTGTGTGTAAGACATGAAGCAGAATGTGTGTGAGTGTGTGTGTGTGTGTAAGAAGTGAATATAGCAAAGGACTATGAGATGGGAGAAACTGATCTAAATAGAAGATGGGGGGGAGTAAGAGGAGTGAGAGAGGACAATGAAACACACGACACTAAAGAAAAGGGGATAAGGATGACAGTTCTGTGGCTTGGGCAGCCTGTCGGCCACTGGCAGTGGGATCAAGATCCATTCTAGTGCATGATCTGGCTTTCTGGAGCCCATTCCCTTTGGAGGGATACCTTGTCAGCCTGGATATGGGGGAAGGGCCTTGGTCCTGCCTTAATGTGACATGACAGACTTTGTTGATTCCCCATAGGGGAGGTCTTACCCTCTCTGAGGGGTGGATGGGGGTGGGTTGAGGAGAAGATGGGAGGAGTGGGAAGAGGAGGAGAAGAAGGAGCTAGTATTGGTATGTAAAATAAGAAAAGATTGTTTTAAAGAGAAAAGGAACTTTCAGAGTCATTACCATCCCTAACATTAAGCTCTATTACAGAGCTACAGTAATAAAAACAACTTGGTATTGGCTTAAAAACAGAGACATGATGACCAATGGAATCGAATTGAAGACCCGGATATTAATCCGCACACCTATGAACACCTGATTTTTGACAAAGAAGCTAAAATAATACAATAGAAAAAAGAAAGCATCTTTAGCAAATGGTGCTGGAATAACTGGATACCCACCTATAGAAGGATGAAAAAAGACCCACATCTATCACCATGCACAAAACTCAAATCCAAATGGATTAAAGACCTCAATATAAATCCTACCACACTGAACCTGATAGAGGAGAAAGTGGGAAGTAGCCTTCAATGCATGGGCACAGGAGACCACTTCCTATGTATAACCCCAGTAGCACAGACACTAAGAACAACAATGAATAAATGGGACCTACTGAAACTGAGAAGCTTCTGTAAAGCAAAGGACACAGTCAATAAGACAAAAAGGCAGCCTACTGAATGGGAAAAGATCTTCACCAACCCCACATCAGACAAAGGACTGATCTCCAAAATATATAAAGAACTCAAGAAATTAGACATTAAAATTCTAAATAACCCAATTAAAAAAATGGTGTACTGAACTAAACAGAGAATTCTCAACAGAAGAATTTCAAATGGCCAAAAGATACTTGAGGACATGTTCAACTTCCTTAGCTATGAGGGTAATGTAAATCAAAACAACTCTGAGATACCATCTTACACCTGTCAGAATGGCTAAAATCAAAAACACCAATCAATGATAGCCTATGCTGGAGAGGATGTGGAGTAAGGGTAACACTCATCCATTTCTAGTGGGAATGAAAACTTCTGCAACCACTTTGGAAATCAGTATGGCCGTTTCTCAGGAAATTGGGAGTCAACCTACCTCAGGATCCAGCAATACCACTCTTGGGAATATACCCAAACGATGCTCAATCATACTACAAAAGCATTTGTTCAACTATGTTCATAGCAGCATTATTTGTAACAACCAGAACCTGGAAACAACCTAGATGTCCCTCAACTGAAGAATGGATAAGGAAAGTGTGGAACATATACACATTGGAGTACTACTCAGTGGTAAAAAACAATGACATCTTCAATTTTGCATGCAAATGGATGGAACTAGAAAACACTATCCTGAGTGAGGTAACCCAGACCCCCCAAAATGAATATGGTATGTACTCACTCGTTAGTGGATACTAGCCATAAACAAAGGATATTGAAGCCTATAATTCATGATCCTAGAGAAGCTAAATAATAAAGTGAACCCAAAGAAAAATATAGATGGACCCACATGGGAACTGGAAACAAATAAGATCACCTGACAAAATTGGGAGCATGGGGGCAGGGGGTAGAAAAAAGAGGAGAAGGGGAGGGTTGAGGAGAACTTGAGGGGATGGGATAGTCAAGATGAAAAAAGGACAGATATGAGAGCAAGGAAAGAGATATCTTGATTGAGGGAGCCATTATGGGGTTAGCAAGAAACATGACCCTAGAAAAATTCCCAGGAATCCACAAGGATGACCCCAGCTAAGACCCTAAGCAATAGAGGAGAGGGTGTCAGAACTGGCCTTGCCCTGTAGTCAGACTGATGATTATGTTAAATATCACCATAGAAACTTAGTCTAACAACAGATGGAAACAGAGGCAGAGAACCATATCAGAACACTGGACTGAACTCCCAAGGTCCAGTTGAAGAGTGGAAGGAATGAGAATATGAGCAAGGAGGTCAAGACATGAGAGGTTCACCCACTGAGACAGTTTGCCTGAGCTAATGGGAGCTCACCAACTCCAACTGGACTGGGAGTGAATGAGCATGGGATCAAGTAGTCCCTCTGAATGTGGTTGACAGTTGGGGTAGACTGAGGGGCCAATGACAGGGGCACCGGGATTTTTCTCTACTGCATGCACTGGCTTTGTGGGATTCTATTCTCTTCGGATGTATACCTTGCTCAACCTAGATGTACTAGGGAGGGGCTTGGATTTGCCACAGGGCAGGGTGCCTTGTCCTCTCTTAGGATTGGAGGGGGGAATGGTGGGAGGGCATGAGGAGGGCATGGGAGAAGGGGAGGGAGTGGGAATTTGGATTGGTATTTTTTTTAAGTAATAAAAGAAAAAAGGGGGCTATTACTTGGGAGAAAGAAGGAGACGGCAAGGAGAGGCAGAAGGTGGGAGAAGAACGGCAAACAAGAACAAGGATATCTTTTCTGGTCACTGTGAGCTTGGTGGCTTCATGGGCTGCCACCCCATCTAGTGTTACTGATATTGTAAGAACAAGGCATACCTAACGTGTCACTTCTGCAGAAGCATCTCTGATGCCAAAATCTGTAGTTTTGACCTTGGAAGAAGGTTGTGGGAGTTCCCACTGTATGCTTTGAATACCATTGGTTAATAAAGAAACTGTCTTGGGCCTGCTCATGGAATATAGGTAGGCAGGGAAAACTAAACTGAATGCTGGGAGAAAGAAAGGAGGAGTCAGGAGAAGCCATGTAGTCCCTCCAGAGACACATGAATGGAACTTTATCCAGTAAGTCACAGCCATGTGGTGATACACAGATTAATAGAAATGAGTTAAATTAAGATATAAGAGTTAGCCAATAAGAAGCTAGAGCTAATGGGCCAAGCAGTGATTTGAATAATATAGTTTCTGTGTGGTTATTTTGGTTCTGGGTCGCCAGGATGAACAAGTGCCTCCTTACTAGAGAAGAAAGAAAGTGGATGAATTTCCACTTGGTGGCTGCATTGTATCAATGAGTGTGATCCACATCCTGATTTCTGGAATCCTTCCTCAGATAAGTTAGTTACCTGTAGCCAAGTCTTCATCTTTGGACCTGTGTTCATGGTGATTCAGATGGGACAGAGGCCATGTCTTCATCATGACGTGTCCTCCCAAGAAATGAATGCTGAAAAACTATTTAGAAAGCTAAGCCCTAACCTGATACCATTATCAAGAGAGGGATTTAAGTGCCTATCTGTTATGTTTTGTAAGGAAAATGTAGAGATTTCTTACAGTCTCTAGATCCAACCCACAATTTTCAAGTATCTCTTAGAGATACAAAAGATTATGATAAAAAAGTGACTAGACTCCTGTAGTACACGAAACTTACAGTTTTACCCTCAGCCTGTGTGATGTGTCTAGTGAGTAAAAGGTTAAGAGTAAGAAATGTAACAGAACGTACAAAAAAAATCAAAAACAAAAAACAAGAAGTGCTCAAATAATTTAATGAAAATCAATACCCAATTTTTTTTTCATTCTAAAAATTTCTTCAAAGGACGAAAGTAGAAACTTTTGGCTATGAACTCTGGTAAAGTTATGCTTTTATAAGCAGATCATCATGCAACTCTTAAAATAAAAACCAGGAAAGAGAGCCCAGAGACCTCTGTGGCCACAGCGATTTCAAGTTGCTTTGAAGCCAATAAAATAATAAGAGAATTATCAACAAAAAGAAATTTTTTTTTGAAAAGAGCATTCAAATTTTTATCTCAATACCATGGAACAAAACTCAAGATTATCATAAATCTGATAATAAACAGCTTAACGAAGTGGCACAAATCGATTAAAACGAACACTTTCCACATACAAGCACTAATTAGGAGATACAGTCCCCTGGAGATAGTTTATGGAGATAGCTGATATTTGTCATATCAGAAAGGCCTACATTGCTAGTGGTTAGTCTGATTAAAAAATGGGCAGGACTGAACAATGAAAAGTAATAGTGTGTTTCTCCCGAGATCTAGGCGGAGGTTAAGAGAAAAGGCCAGTTATCAAGTGTCTATTAACCTTGCAACAAAGGCATGGCTTTCCAGGCTATTTCCTTCATTTTCAGGTGATTCTCATGAAAGCATTGGTAGAAAACTCTTGGGAAACGACACTTATAAAACATACATATCTGTAGCACAGGGAGCGGCAGAAGAGAAGGAATGAGTCGGGGGTCCGCACAGGGAAGGCTGAGTTGGGACGGTGTCCAGAGGTCCGAGAGTGTCCTCTTAGGTGACCTCAGCGAGATGAGGGTTTGGTGCCCCCTCCCTCCATTGAGAAAACAGCTAAAGACCAAAGAGGAACAGACAATGGCGGAGTATCAGCCAGGTGGTGGGAAGATAATATGGGAAAAAGGTTAGTTCTTTAGATGGAAGAGAAGGAATTGTGACCAGATCCAAGGACTAGGATCCGTGTATTACAGGAGTCTGTGTATTCTTGGTCAGTTTCCTTCTTTGCCCCATATCTTTCAAAATTTACTTACAGTGTGTGAGTATATCCTGTAAACTTCCAGACAGCACAGATGTATCCTTTTAAACTGATAATCACAAACGATCAAAATACAGCCCCGCTACAAACTCCTCAGTCTACAGCTGCCTGTGAGCTGCAGAGGTACAAGAGTGGTACAGAGGGTGTGGAGATAGCCAACCCCTATCTGACTGGAATTAGGACCCACTCTGTGAATGGAACCTGTCTCAGATGCCGCTCTGGTGGCCAAGAACCTGAGACTAGCTAGGCCGTGGACCCAGAAGAAAGCGAAATCCTACCGTTCTAATAAAGGGAATGTACCAAGAAAATAATTCCGCAGGACATTTTGCTATATTCATATCTCAGTGTCTTCCTTGGCTATCATCAGAGAAGCTTCCTCCTACAGGAGAGGGGAACAAATACAGAGGCCCACAACTGGACAACGTTCAGAGAGTGAGAGACCGTGGAACCCTCAGTTCTAAACGGGACGTCTCCATCAAAACCCTCCCCCCTCAGAACTCAGGGAACCCTGCAGGAGAGGCAGAAAGATTGTGGGAGGAAATGGGAATGGAAGACACCATGGAAACATGGCCTTCTAGACACAACAGGATCGATTCCCATATGAACTCCAGAGACCATAGCAGCATGCACCAGACCTGTGCATGTCTAACCTAGATGGGGTCCCATGGCAGACAGGACTGATGCCCATATGAACTCCAGAGACCATATTACAGCATGCACCAGACCTGTGCATGTCTAACCTAGATGGGGTCCCATGGCAGACAGGACTGATGCCCATATGAACTCCAGAGACCATATTACAGCATGCACAAGACCTGTGCATGTCTAACCTAGATGGAGTCCCATTGCAGACAGAGTGAGTAGACACAAACTCCCATCCCTTACCCAGAAGTTATCTCCAACTGATAATCTCTTGCAAAGGAAAGATTAATTTGTTACAATGGAGTCTAACTGGACATACAAACCACACTTAAGGGCAGGAGTCTAACTGGACATACAAACCACACTTAAGGGCAGGCCCCATGCCCAGCAGTAGATGGCCAACACAAAACTAACTTAGCGGTGTTTTGGGAGGATTTTTGTCTTGTAATGCTTTTCTTGGACTTTTTTTTCCTTGCAAGTCTTTTTCTTATATATTATAATTTCTGATTTTGTTTTTTATGGGTTTTTGTCTGTATGAATGTGTGTATCTCTATGTCTATTTGAGTTTCTTGTGCTTTTTATTTAATTCTTTTTAATGTGTGTTTTGTCCTATTCTGATTTTTTAATTATTACTATTAATATTATTATATGCCTGCTTGTTTGAGAGAGAGAGAGAGAGAGAGAGAGAGAGAGAGAGAGAGAGAGAGAGAAAGTGTGTGGGGATGAGGGGATGATCTGGGGAAGGTGAAACATTAATAAAAACATATTGTATGAAATAAATCTATTTTCAATAAAACTATACATTTCTATGCTCTTTAGCTTTGAAGTTTTTTTCTTACTAAGAACCCCTGACATGTTTCTCTCTCGCACTCATTTTTGCTCTGTGTGTTGGGTCATTCATGAACACATTTAGCACCATTAGAATCATGTCTTGTTTAACTGCTGCCTGGTACAGCTACCCTCAACAGACAGATCAGTTGTCTGCAGTGGCTGGTTCTCCAATGCTGTAAAGAATATACTTGAACTTTCTCTGAATGCAGATGTATAATTGTTTTTCTAGAAAGCTGACAGGAGACTACACTGTCTCGGGCAAGGAGAAGGTAGCACCACAAGCAAACTGAAGCAGAGTGAGAGGAAATGTTGGCTGTAACTGGATTGGAGCTGAATTCTGGGGGACAGTGGAAGGACGGTCATAGCCGGCAGAAGGGCTCTGGAGACCATATCCAACCTGTCCCACCGCATAGAAGTGTCTGGATCCAGGAGTGTGATGGTTTTGAGCCGCAGCCAGAACTAGCCCTTAGTCCTGAACTCTGTTCAACCACCAGGACCCTCACATTTCCATACTCGGGCACACAGTGCTCCAGCCTTGGGAGATGTTTTGAGACAGTGGTGCCTGCTAATCCCTGTATGAGCATTTCTCTGGTGCTGCTGCTCA